GTGCAAAATTCTGCACTAACAAAATTCTGAACTACTTCGTGGTAAGCCCTGGCCAACAAATTTTTTAATTGAAATTTATTTTTGAAAATATTTTTTTCAGTGCTTTCTATTTGTTTATAATTTTATTTTAATTATATTGACTCATTGCATAATTTGATGAAAGCGAAAAACGAAAGTCAACTCTCAGTGAAAGTAAAATACAGATAAACATTTTCATTTTGAATCTTGATTATTAATATTTTTGTTTGATTTTCATTTCCCATTTCAATAGAAATCAATCGACAAATATTTTGTTTGCACTTTTCAATGTCAATATACACATAACTTTGTGCATGCAAACACCCTGTATAATTCATAAAGCCTTGCTTTGCTTTGCTTTGCTTTGCCATGTTGACATGGCGTTCAACAAATATTGCAGTATAATTTTTGGAAAATATTTACCATAAATTAAATATATATTTTTTTGGATTATATTATATTTAAAAAATATAGAATATTTGGGAAATATAGATGTAGACATAGAGAGTGAATAATGAAAGATTTAAAATTCAAGTTCTTTTGGTTTTGGTTCTATAAACCGAAGTAGTATATATATAGTAACATATATAGCAGTATATAGATAGTAATATAGTTAGTAGTATATATACAGTAATTCTGATGTATATAGTAATATATAAAGTAGTATATATATATACGCACATAGTATACATACTATTAAATATATATAAACCAATATATGTGCAAATATATGTATATGCATAGTAGCATGTATATAATAATATATATATAGTAGTATATATATCTAGTATACATCGGGCATTATGAAATAAAACACACAAACAATCACCTTTAAAATAATTTCAATAAATACAATTCAGTTAATCCAATCCCTTATGCTATAATACCCCATAAATCGATTATACTTAAAATTGTAAGCCACACATCCATTATAATTTTCATATCAACTTCAATATAGTCCTAGTGCAATTTAACTGTACCAGTGCTGAATTAAATCCCTTCTACTTTATTCTCCATACATTCATCATGTCCTGATTGACGACTCATCTTTTACTTCAAGTTTTCTTTTATGACTGTTATCGACTATAATTTCGTTGGTAAGGCAGTATTATTAATACCTCTATATCTCAATAATTCTGAAAAGTGAAGGTTGCGTTCAAATATTATCTTATTCAACGGAGGTAATCTTGTGACATTAGCTAGGATGCTATTTCTAGTTCAGAACTTTTCAGCATAAATGGCCATATAAATATTTGCAGAACTCTTCTCGCGTCTTGGTATTCTGTGTATGGAAACATAATATAAATTCTAATTCAAACAAAAGTAGATATTTTATTTAAGTATTCGGCTTTCTTTTGGATCAATATTATTTTTGATTGGAATAAAACGAAACATCTAAACAGATTTTTTGTAACGTTTTGACATTGTTTTAAGTCTAGGCGATAAGAATTCTTATGCATGTTCAACTGTTTACAGCTAATATCAGATATCTTTAACAAAAATTTTGTTTTTATACTACAGTCCGATAGCCTGTTGTTCGGTGAGAGTCAGTTGTTTATTTAAAACAACTTCTTCTGCGGTTAGGAGTATAAGAAATTTTTGTGGGGAATAGTTAATCTTCACCTGATGTTATGTATCCTCAAAGCGGGCCTGCTTTCCAATATTCCATCCATAAGAGCCAATTGTTAATTTAAAACATCTGCTCATGAGGTCAGAAGTATAAGGACTTTGGTGTGCAATCTTCTATCCTCCATCTTCTCTAACATCATGCATCCTCAACGAGTATCTACTTTCCAACATTCCATCCATAAGAGCCAATTGTTAATTTAAAATATCTTTTCATAGGATCAGATGTATAAGAACTTTGGTGTGGAATCTTCTATCCTCCATCTTCTCTAACATCATGCATCCTCAACGAGTATCTACTTTCCAACATTCCATCCATAAGAGCCAATTGTTAATTTAAAATATCTTTTCATAGGATCAGATGTATAAGAACTTTGGTGTGGAATCTTCTATCCTCCATCTTCTCTAACATCATGCATCCTCAACGAGTATCTACTTTCCAACATTCCATCCATAAGAGCCAATTGTTAATTTAAAACATCTTCTCATAGGATCAGATGTATAAGAACTTTGGTGTGCAATCTTCTATCCTCCATCTTCTCTAACATCATGCATCCTCAACGAGTATCTACTTTCCATCATTTCATCCATGAAAGTCAGTTATTAATTTAAAATATCTTCTCATAGGATCAGATGTATAAGAACTTTGGTGTGCAATCTTCTATCCTCCATCTGCTCTAACATCATGCATCCTCAACGATTATCTACTTTCCATCATTTCATCCATGAAAGTCAGTTATTAATTTAAAACATCTTCGCATAGGATCAGATGTATAAGGACTTTGGTGTGAAATATTTTATGCTCCATCTTCTCTAACATCATGCATCCTCAACGAGTATCTACTTTCCATCATTTCATCCATGAAAGTCAGTTATTAATTTAAAATATCTTCTCATAGGATCAGATGTATAAGAACTTTGGTGTGCAATCTTCTATCCTCCATCTGCTCTAACATCATGCATCCTCAACGATTATCTACTTTCCATC